TATATTTTCTGTGTTTTCTGATAAGGAATCAGATTAGCTGGACATCAGTCTACTCAGTGCTCTGGAAGAGTTGAAATCTATCACAATAAAATATGGGGAACAGTCTGTGACCATGGATGGAGCACAGAAGATGCTGAGGTGGTCTGCAGACATTTAGGCTGTGGACCAGCACTGAATGCCACTCAGTCAGCTCACTTTGGTGAAGGAACAGGACAAATCTGGCTTGATGAAGTGTCCTGTTCAGGAAGTGAAAGTTCTCTAACTGAGTGTCAGCACAGAGGATTTGGGACACATTCCTGTGGACATGGTGAGGATGCTGGTGTCATCTGTTCAGGTGAGACTCTTTTTAAATCACGCACTGTATTCAATTCAAAATAATCCAACCCAGCTCTAAACCAGAGAGAAATATATCTGTTTGAATGAGATTTACATGTTTGAGACTTCTAAACAAAATCATCCAAAAATGTTAAAATAGCTGCTGCTGTCTGTGATCCAGTAATTTGGCATTAGGATCTGTGTAATTTGTTGTAAGTTGTGTGTCAGAGACGTTTTAATTTACATTAATTGAAGTTTGCATGAAGGCTACTGCAGATGTTAGCAAATCTAGCCCCAAATGTTGTTTTTTTCACAGACTGTTCCTTGTTTGAATGACCTGTATGGAAGAAAAAAACAGGGTTAGAACACATTATGGTGAAGCAGAGGTGTGGACTCAAGTCAGACTCGAGTCATTAATTTTATGACTTTAGACTTGACTTGAAAAAATGTTCTAAGACTTGTGACTTGACTTGGACTTTTACACCAATGACTTGGGACTTGAATTGGACTTGAACCGGTTTACTTGAAAAGACTTGATATTTTACCCCAAATATAAAATTTAACATGCATATTATATGGAGATTGAAAATGTGACGTCATTCACGGGTAGAACCGCAAAGGATTCTGGGAACTCGTGGCAAGCGGTACTAGCGCACGCAGGCTTTCAATTAAAATCAGTCACACAGCGATAAAAAGAAACACAAAAATGTCAAGAAGCCGTTGTATTATTAACTGCAATAGCCGGTCGCATGACAGCCACGGGAAGCCGACGGGTAAAGAGATCGGTTGTTATCGGATTACGTCGTTGAAGAGAAATTGTTTGAGCCATGTTTCCGAAGTAACAAAGAGGCGACTGGATTGCAGCCATTCAAAGATCAAATATAACGTCCTAGAACACTCCAGCTCACAGGTTAGTCTGCTCCAAGCATTTCCACAAAGGTCAGTCTGCTGTTGTAGTTAATGCGTCATTTTTCTTAACATAATTGGTGATATAGGTTACAAGCAAGTCTGGCGCTGAACAGAAATTGTCGTGCTATGCTCCTTTGTTTATTGTGCATAAATAGTGAATTGTCCTGACACAATATTGCGTTTCGCTTCTGTTATTATGGTACATTGACAAAAACACATACTTTTATTCACAGGATAAAACAGGGTTTTTTTGTATCACTAATTGCCCAGTACGATTACAGCATACAATATTGTTGTCACTGCTACATTTCTGTGATGGGTACCAGAAATTATTTCCACTACTAATTAATTACCGTTGAGCTCAAAGGTCCTATTAATAAACGGTTAACGAATGTGTATTTATGACGACAATTTGTGAGACTGGTAAACTTATGATACGTACGATGGTCTTTCGTTCTACACGGTGCATTTCAAGGTCCTGTACCCATCCGTCGGTAAACTGTACCTGGGCTTGTTGCAGTGACCTGAAGTTACTAAACTTCATGAGTGTATGCACTCACAAGAACCGTATAATTATAAATATGCATATAAATATGCTAAGATGAGATAGCTGACTTCATCTAACTAGCAAATGTTGTCCAGGCTACGTTGGTGATACAGTTTTTTTTTTAATGTGTATGATATTTTTGTCATGCGATTTTAAAGCTGGTCCTACAACCGCATCCAAGAATAACATGCAGCGTATCTCAGAACTGTTGGTGAAAATTATTCTTGGAGCTAGGTTTAATTGAGCTGCATTTTATAGAGGTGCAATTTCACAATTTGTGTATATTTTCTAAGTTCACTATTTTGTATGTGTTGAGAAAAACACAGATTTTAAAATTACATGGTCTAATATTTACATTTAGCATATAACTGCAACATTATTTTTTCGTTTGTTTTTTTTAAAGACTCGAAAGGACTTGAAATTCAAAGTTTCAGACTTGTGACTTGACTCGGACTTTTACACCAGTGACTTGAGACTCAACTCTGACTTGCCTGACATTACTTGAGACTTGACTTGAAACTTGAGGATAAAGACTTGAGACTTACTTGAGACTTGCAAAACAATGACTTGGTCCCACCTCTGTGGTGAAGTAAGAAGAACATTTTGCAGTCCAACCTTTGCATTCTTCAGTACCAGCCTGCATCCCATCCCCTGTGTGTGTGTGTGTGTGTGTGTGTGTGTGTGTGTGTGTGTGTGTAGTCCTGTTGTCTTTTGGATTTTTGCAACAGTTATAAAGGCTCACTTGTCGGAAGATTTTGAAACCATTTCCTTCATTAAATAGGAGAACGCATTACAATCATAATCAAATATATGTTTTCTGTGTTTTGTGTTTAGGAATCAGATTATCTGGGCATCAGTCAGGTCGTTGCTCTGGAAGAGTTGAAATCTACAATAAAAAAAGATGGGGAACAGTCTGTGATGACGGCTGGGACTTGAATGATGCTGAGGTGGTCTGCAGACAGTTAGACTGTGGCACAGCACTAGCACCTCCTAAAGAGGCTCATTTTGGTGAAGGAAGTGGACCAATCTGGCTTGATGGTGTGGCCTGTTCAGGAAGTGAAAGGTCTATAATCCAGTGTCAGCACAGAGGGTCTGAGAAAAATGGCTGCACACACCATAAAGATGCTGGTGTCATCTGTTCAGGTACATCTCTCATCATCAACAGATTTATCATTAACTCACAGTAGTTTTGCTTCTCTGCCTATTTTGTCCTAAAATTCAGGGTGATCACTGCAAATCATCTCATAAAGTAACCATCCTGCACATCCTGCATTTTTCAGTAATAAAATGTTCAATAATACTAATACAAATAATACTAATACTTGAAATGAGTAAAGAATATGAACAGCCTATTTATGCGAGATAATTCATAATTTTATTGGGGAGGGGGGGGGTCATAACCTCCCGGAAATTACACCCCTGAAAATGTTCTGCTATGAATGTAGCTGTAATCTACAGAGAAATATGTTTTCCATCATCTTTTTAAACTGCCAGTAATTAAAAGACATAAATGTGGGTCTGTGTGTAGTTATTGCCATGTATTTGTGCACTGTGAGTCTGAGTGAACGTGAGCTGAATGAAACTTATTTAATGTACAGAAATGAGTCTCACAATAATGTTCAATTAAAATATTAAATGCATGTACTCTGAGTTCAGGTGCACGCATCAGATTAACTGGGTCCACTCATTGCTCTGGAAGAGTTGAAATCTTTTACAACAACACTTGGGGAACAGTCTGTGATGATGGCTGGGACATAAATGATGCTGAGGTGGTCTGCAGAGAGTTAAACTGTGGAACAGCACTGAAAGCCACTAAGTCCACTCACTTTGGTGAAGGAAGAGGATCCATCTGGCTTGATGATGTGTCCTGTTCAGGAAGTGAGAGATCTCTCACTGAGTGTCAGCACAGAGGATTTGGGAAACATGACTGTACACACAGCAAGGATGCTGGTGTTGTCTGTTCAGGTAAGAAACTTTACTAATCAAAGTTAAATTAATAATAAAGGTCAATACAATTTTTTACTATTTATTTCATTACTTCTTGGTTTTGTCTTTAATATTATGTCATTAATATTATTTACGACTCCAGCATTTATGAAAAATTATTAGCTTGACTTGTTTGTTATCATTCAATATTAATTATTCACAGCCTGACAAATAAAGTGATGAGTGAGAACTGTCAAAAGAAACCGATTTAATATGATTGAAGCGTCCTATAACACTGAAATGTGAACTTAACATAAAGTATATAAATAGGACTGTAGGACTGTTCTTTTGTTTGATTTTTATGATCATTGAGCAGCTCAGTGATGTAAAGTTTGCAAATGATTGCACTCATGAACCAATTACACACTGAATAACATTCAGTCCATCAAAATGTTTTGTCTTATTGTTTATTATGCTCACTGTGCCCAGGTGTGCCAGTCAGATTATCTGGAAGCACTTTGTGCTCTGGAAGAGTTGAAATCTTTTACAACAACACTTGGGGAACAGTCTGTGATGATAACTGGGACATAAATGATGCTGAGGTGGTTTGTAGAGAGCTCGGCTGTGGAACGGCACAGAGTGCTGCTGTATCAGCCCGCTTTGGTGAGGAAAGTGGATCCATCTGGCTTGATGATGTGGACTGTTCAGGAAGTGAGAGATCTCTGACTGAGTGTCAGCACAGAGGATTTGGGACACATGACTGTACTCACCAAAAGGATGCTGGTGTTGTCTGCTCAGGTGAGAAATTATTTTTTTAAATATTTATCATTAAATATCAATAATATTTAAATACTGTTATGTGGTGGGAGATTTCTTTCTTTTTGTATTGATCACATAGTTTGACCATATCACTTTAGTAATGTAGAAGCACATTTTCACCAGTTGTATGCATGTGCACCGTAAATGGGCCTTATGCTCTAACACACATGTGTAACATGTAAGAGTTACATAGAGTCTTTGTCAGTGTGGGTATATAAGATGTGAGGATGGCAGCCATTGTCAGAGACCGCTTAGGTGTTTGACCAGAGTCTCTTCATATTGCAATATGTTATTAAGCTCACTTGAAATCATGCTCACCGAGATGTTTGCGGGTTTATTTGAAATTTCCATGACAATTATTAATATATAAAGTAAATTTTTGCCATTTTTAATTGAATCGTCTCTCCATGACTGCTGTTTTCCTCAGTGATCCTTCCAAAGCCCAGAATCTTCATGATTCCTGCTGGTAAAGTTGAGTGGAGAAGCGATGTCAGCATCACTTGTTCAATATCACCTCAAAGCCAGCAGCTTCTACAAGGAGAATTTACTCTGAAGCAGATTTCAGGCTCATTCAGTCAGAAAAAACCATCAACCACCAACTCTGCTACATTCAAGATCCTCAAAGTAGATTTTGACAAGGATGGATTATACCAGTGTGAATATTCACATGACTCCAGCATCTCCACAAGTGACTCTGTCACCGTCTCTGTTACTGGTAATAAAATGTAATATTGCTTATATTACAGTGACAGGAAAATACTGTGTTTACTTGTTACGCCCACTACAGGTTATTAGCATGAAAATATAACATCCATTAAGATAAGAAGTCTTAATTTCAGCAGTTCATCGATCAACGACAACACTTAATAGTCACTTCCCAATTATGTCTAAGATTGCAGAAACCCAACTTAATTTCATGCCAGTGTTCACTGCAATCAATAAATTAAAATACATGCCATGTGAATAAAGATTTTCATATTCATCCTGCCCTAAAAACTCCCAGAAAAGCCTTCAGTTAATCCAAAATACAGCTGCGAGAGACTGAGAGAAAGAGAACGCATATTTCTCCCATGTTGGCATTTCTTCATTGACTCCCTGTTAAATCTAAAATCTAAATCCTTGGTTTGGCCAAAGGTTTCTTCCTGTTAAAAGGGAGCCTTTCTTTCCCAATGTTGCCAAGTGCTAATTCATAGGGTGCAGTTTCTCTTTAATGCTGTACAGTCTTTATCTTATAATATAAAGCGCCTTGAGGTGTTTTGAATTCTCAATATCTATAAAAACTGAATTAATCTGAATTGTCTGGGCACCAAAGAATTGCTGGACTTTTGGGAGAGAAATGTTGTCCTATTCTTGAGGGATAAACGATTCTAGCACCTCAACAATCCTGAGCTGTCTTGTTTGTTTAATGATGGATTAAATGTTTTCAGTCAGTTAAAAAGATCTGGATCATATTCACACATGACACACGCATTAAAAGAGTGACAGAGTTTTTTCCGCCACCAGGTGGTGCCTCTTTTTCAATAGAGCTTCTTTATTTGTTGTTTATTTTGTTTTCAGTGTTGCTGCAGCAGCCCAGGATCTCTGTGACATCTCCAGATGGAAGACTTGCTATGGTTATAGAAATCATGAAGGGCTACAGCTTCATCTTCACCTGCTCAAACAATGATCGCTATTCAGGAGGAGTTTTCAATCTCATCTACTCTGGCTCCAACATGAAACACAATAAGACATCTGTCAACAGCTCAGCCTCCTTTAGTTTCCCTGTAGCTGACTTTGGACACGAGGGCCGCTACAGCTGTGTGTATGAGATAACTCTGACAGAAGGAACATTCACTTCTCCTGAGGCGGAGTGGATTTATGTCTCCGTTATATGTAAGTTAAGCAAACACCAGAACTCAATATTTCTGTTTGCTGTGAGTGTCATGGGTCAGTTTACGTAATGTTTTGAGTTTTTTAAACTTTCAAGTCTTGTTTAGCATTTGCACTTGTTCTTAGTCTATTTAGTCTTGTTTTCAGTTCCTCGTTGCTTTAATTCCTCGCTCAGTGTTCTCTGCTCATTCATTCATGTGTCTGTTTTCCACATTTAATTATCGAGATTTCGAGAGCGAGTGTTCCTTGTGCTTTGCTTTTAGTTTTGCTTCCATTGTTTAGTTTTCTGTGATTTAATTCAGCTGTGTCTTGTTCTCCCCGGCTGTCTCTGCTTCCCTGATTGCCCGTGTGTGTCTGTACTGTATAAAGTCGTAGTCTTCTTTTTCCATAGGACAGAGCAGGTCTTTATCTTGCCCTAGTGTGTTTTCCATGTTAAGGGTTTCAGTTTCTCTTTTTGGCCTTTGTTTTGCTAATGCTTGTTATTAGCCAAAAGAAATGGCACACTTTAGTTCAGTCTTCTCAGTCTTTATGCATCTGCTAATGGTTCTTCCATCTACACACAGTCAGTAGCATCTACTGATCATGGCAGTGATAGTTTGACTGCATCATGTTGGAAGGTTTTCGATGACACAGAAAAAGGATTTAAAAAATACTTGGAATATTTAAACATTTTTTGTAAGTATGTGGTTTTAATCAAGTTTAATGATGCCATATGTTATGAAAAAAGTTGAACAAAGAAATAACCCACACCTGTTAAGTGCCTGAAAATTGTGGCTATAAAATGTTAATTTCTTCACAGCACACTAAATACTTTTGTTGAATCCTTCAAAATCACTTTGAGTCTCACATTTACATCATGTAAGTGTGGCTACACACTTAAAATAACACAAATCTAAAGCTTTCTAAACCTAACTGTAGGTAGTTCATTAGTGGCTGTTGTACAGTCTGCAATGTTGTATTGTGGTCACCATATTTGTCAGATCGAGCCACGCCTCCTAAACCATAACTGGGTAATATTGTGTTGAGGACACACCTCCATCTCGTGGAGAGGGTTTTTTCATTCACTGGGAGCCCATTGTTTTATAATCTATTGATGTTAACATGATTTATGAGGAGATTTTTCACAAGATTTGTTTCAATGTCTTTAAAACAAAATAAATTATATGACAGTTTGTTCTGTGGTAAGTGATGATGACTGATCTCTTTCCACAGATTCAAGAACTCCAATCCTGAGATATGTTCTCCTGCCTCTGGTTCTGCTTTTGGAGAACATTGCCCTTCATTTCTACTATAAGGTACATCAGAGTAAATAAAAGCATGTATGAAACTGAGTAGTAGCTGAGAAGTGTAGGAACAGTAACATGGATTGTGTATCGTCTCTCCAGGTCATCAAAAAGCAGAAATCAGACAAAAAGGAGAACAATGAGACGGATGTTTCCAGAGCTGAAGAAGTGGAGGCCGAGGAGGAAGCGGTCCAAGAAATAGAATAGAATTGAAACACATAGAAACACACACAAGTTTAAAATCCACTATCTGATTTTATCTATATCTATCTCTTTCTATATATGTATATAGATATATATTAGTCCATATATACTCCAGTCCTCTCTCTTTTTTTCATCTTTCTCTGATTCTAAAAGTGAAGTTTTTACAGATTAAGTATTTTTTTCCCTCAATAACCTCTATCTTTAGCTAGACAGAATATGTGTCAGTTTGTGATGTCTTTGTACTCTCGAGTGTTTGAAATTATTTGCCATTAAAAAAAAACAAGTTCCCTTATTTATAGCCTCCTATCCTGTGGCACTCACAGCAGGAATGTATGACAGTGATGAGAAGGAGAAGTATGCAGCCGGGACCAGAGGGGGTTAAATGAATGACATCATCCAACAGCTTTTTAGCTTGTACATCTCAGTGTGGTTTGCAATTTGCAGTGAAGACATGACAGGAGTCAGAAAGATGAGCAGATCAACAGTGTCTGAAAGTCATGTCATTAAGAAATAGCGAATATAAGGAAAACAGGGGTGACTCAAGACTCACATCCATGCCGCTTATAACTTAAAATATGACGTTTATGACGTTTGACTTTGATTTGATGATTTCTTGAACTAAGCTAAACTGTCAGCCTTTTATTGCAACAGAAAAGTGGAGTCCACAAGTTTACAAAGACCAAAAATATCTCTAACATTAATGTCAGTTCCTTCACATGCTTGATGTCTAAATGTATGAAAATTTCAAACCACCTCTCACCATCAGTAACATGTCCCAAACAAAAACACTCACTGACCCGCATTTACTTTGTTGGGATCTGGTCACATTAGGCTGGTTTGTGTCAGTAGGACCGACTAGACCCCCGCAGATTTAATCAGGCCTGCATTTGACTCCGTCCTTGTGGCTAACAAGTTTTTGTGGGACATATGTAGTGTTTTCATTCACCCATCTGTGAAGATACGAAGTCAAGGAAAATATACTGATTTCTGAGAGCATGTCAGACACCACTGATCCAACATGTGGCTGTAATGTGCTGAGTAATTCTGACACAGCATAGGATCAGTGAAATTTTTCACATCATGTTACCACCCAACAACATCTTTTGTTGAACTTGCTGTACTCTACTGACCACTATAAGTCTGTGAAGGTTCTTTAAGTTGCTTGAAGACGTTTCACCTCTCATCCGAGAAGCTTCTTCTGTTCTAGGGTCAAATGGTGGAGAGTCCCAGATTTATATAGTTGGTAAAGCTACGCCCCCTGCTGTCCAAGATCAACACAGCTAGTAGGACTGCTGTCACAGGAAATCTTAATTAGTGACTTTATTTCCTGTTAGTACATTAAATATTTCTGCTTTTATTTCTGTGTTAAATAAAGTTTGTTCAGCTGCAGTAATGCTCATGATCAGAAAGTTGCAGTATTTTTAAAAAGTAAAAGGCTAGAGCTTTGCTTCGACTTCACTTTATACTACTGTCAAGTTTTTTGCATCACTGTTTTTCTGTCACATTTTATAATTTGTTGAAATAAATATGTGATTGTATTAAATGTGATGTCTTTTTTTCCTGCTAGTTATCAGCCTTTTGTCATCTTGCTAACCACCTGCCCCTGTCTTTCATTCATCTTTTTTATAGTTTTATTATTTATTTTGATTTAAAAAAGGATTATCTCTGCATCTTCTGCTTAGATGTGCAGAGGAGATCAGCTGGTTTAGTCAGTTTGCTGGAAGAGAGCTAAAAACGAACTTTCTTTAAGAGATGCCAGAATATTTTTTGTTTTAAAATATGAATGGTAAATGGCCTGTATTTGTATAGCGCTTTTCTAGTCCCTAAGGACCCCAAAGCGCTTTACACAACCAGTCATCCACCCATTCACACACTGGTTAAACCAATTAAACTAGTGGGTTTTAAATAACCTTTACTACCGCACTGTTCACTGCACAGCACAACAAGAAGTTTTAGAATCCAGTGCATGACTGAGAAAGGCCATCACATCAAAGCGTGTTTGAATTTCGGCGGACAATAACCTCCTGCAATCCTGTAATAACATCAGCTTTAATCCCGAGGACAGGTGTGTGCCCGTATCTTTGTGTGGGGACCTTAAGGTGCATTTCAGTGTCGACAACATGTATGAATCTTTGCACTGTGCTGCTGTTTCTTATCATTTACTGAGAGTCGTAAGAAAGAGGTATTGTCTCCAAATCTGTGCACTGACATCACAGTTAAAAGAAAAAAAACAAAGTAGGTACAAACAGGAAAAAACTACAAATGCCAAACGCATGAAACTCACTGCATGATTCTGCAGGAAAATGATCACAAACACACAACTGAAGCAGGCAAAGTAAAGAGGTGAAATATCAGAGAGAGTCACCTGATGTCTAAGGATGGTTAAGGATGTATTTTCACTTGCGGCACCCAATTAAAAAGGATCAAGCTGAATTTTATGTCACTTTATATTTTTTATGTGTTTACTTCCTATATTTTCCATCTGTAAATCATACATTCACTGTAGCTTCACTTCTTATATTTCACCTGACATTAAAAAAAGATTACCAGGGTGTTCAGTGACATGGAGCATTGTGAAAATAAGTTTACATTTATTGCTTCAACTTGTCGCAATGTACTCTATGTCTACTGTTGTCGTCACTATGAGATCACATTGTGCCTCACAGCATTTCTTTTGAATACATTTTGGTAAGAATACAGTTAAGATGGATGGATAAAAATGTTCTTCAGAGGCCTTGAGATCAAATCAAAACATGAAGACATTTCAAAAAATGTTGCCCATTCATAAAAATATCAGTAACTTTATAAACGTACTATACATGTTACTACTATAGACGATACTGTTTAAACCAAAAGAAAACAAAAACAAACGTATCACAGATCACATCTGTGAATCAGATATACTTTATTTAAAATATATTTCATAAAGGTATCAGGCAAAGAGATGAGAGTATAAACTCATCCATAGCCAGGTTCCAGATGTTTCCTTCCACCTTGTGACTGCATGTGGTGCAGTTTCCTGTGTAGCTGAGCCTTAGCCAGATCTACAGACAGCCTCCTGGCCATGCGGTCAGTGGTCCTCTTCATGCTGCGAGCCATCTCAATCGCCTGGTCCAGAGTCCTGTTCACGTCTTCTTCCTAGAAAACCAAAGAAACTTGTCCCTTAAGCCAAGTAAGACTTGTGTATGTCACAGTAAAGACCTGATCTTTATTATGATATACAGCAGATGTTCCTGTATATAAAGAGAACTGGTTTATCTGATTTGCGTTAAAGTTTGAGACATTTGACCTTGCTCCTGCTACGTCTGCTTGTCCTGCTGCCAGTCTTGAAGGGCACGGATGATGGAGACGGTGTCCGCTGAAAGTACACATTGCTGGGCAGGAGTGCTGTGTCTGACTGAGTGGAAGGTTTTCTGTGATGGGACATGGACTGCAGCGGTGGCTCCCTGAATTTATAGCTGGATTTGACAACACGTAGCAAAAAAGAATGATTTATCCCAAGAAAAAACTATGAAGCGTACAGCTGATAAATATCTCTATCAATGCAGTTAATGCTTGTATTTTACCTGGCCGGCAGACTGCAGGAGGAGCCGTAGCTGACCTGCAACAGCGGCTTCTGGAGAAACGAGCTGGAGAGAAGAGACCATCTGTCCTTGGAGTGTAAACTATTTGTGACAACTGTAGATCACAGAAACATGACCAACAGTGTGCTCAGTAAGAATTAGTACGTATTGACAGCAGTGATTTTCCTTTTCACCTTACAGTATTACAGCCCTTACACTATTCATCCAGATAACACTAATACATTTACTGAGGTCAGTTTCATAACTCATTAAATCAAAACCTTGATGGACAAAACCTGACATGAAACAGTTTCTCACTCTGTGGTCTGAAGTCAGACATCATGTCGTTCTTTCCTTTTAAACTGCAGCTTCTCAACCCAGAAGTTTCCAGTGAGCGGCCTCCCTCTGTCCACGCAGCAGGAGAAACTGAATGTTCAGTTCAAAGACAATCAGACAGAAAATCATCCAAATAAAGTGAAACAAAATTCTGCTGTGACTCTGGCTCTGACCTCCTTTGGGCTGGACCGCCTGGTGTTTAAACTGAAACTCAGGTCCCGAGGATACGCCTCTGCCACCTTTTCTGCTCCCTGCTGGTGAACTGTGTAACTGCAACATTATCTCAGAGCTTGTTTCACTGCTGTCTGTGCCTGAAGAGCAAACGAACAAATTACATTAAAAGGATGAAGTAACATCTGCATGCACTCATATCAAAGCAGGGAAGGGAACTTAGAGCCAGACAATTGGAGTTTACACAGTTTTATGGCTGGGGGGGGTCTACCTTTGCTCTGGCTGGGGTCCATGTCTGATGAGATCCAGTCCTCCAGCCTTGCCTGACTGAAACTGAAGTTACTCACATCTCTGCTGCTGATATTCCCCACTCTACATGTTATGATACAAATAATCAATATGAGAAGACATTTGGACTCTAAATGGTTATTTCTGTTTAAATGTTTATCATGAAACTGAAATTCTTACTTGTTAGTTTACTAGATATAATACATGTCACTATCAACATGATAACACCTTACAAAATGTCCATCTTTCATTCATTGACCATGATGATCAGAGTCCCACCTGTTACAGGCTGGACTTTGGTAAGTCCTGGTTCTGGACCGGTGCTCCTGGCGCTCTTGTCTGTATTTTGAGGTGAGATAGTCCATCTTCTGAGCTAAGTGAGGTAATTGCACTAAGCCCACCTCCAGGTCCTTCTTTAGCCTAGACACCTCCGATTGCAAGGCCAGGATAGCCTCACTGGTCACACACGAGCGACACAGAAATGTAAATGTTCATAAAATGGGGAAAAAGGTCATGATAAAGTTCCAGTAGATACGGGCAAATATTTAGCTTAAATGCTGACTGCTAGAACAAAGCCACATACTTGTGAAACCCCTTCAAAACAAAACAAAAAAAGAACAGTTGTTGATCGAGGTAATGAAGGCAACAACACAGAGAGATTGAAACCAAAAGGGTGAATCTCAGATGAGCTGTTTTTCAAGGGAGAGCT